ATGGCCAAGTTAGAAGTGCTTCGCTCTTTCGCCCCTGTCCTCGCATCTTCCATTCATCATCGCACCCTTCCCAAATGCAAGTGATACATCTTTTTCTTTAAAACAGCAATATTTTGGTACTTTTGTCTGTTAAATTTCACATACGCATCAAAGCATAATAAGATGTAGCAAAAGCCATTTGCATTCGAAAGGCTGAAGAGGACAAGCAGGAAGATGAATAGCGAGGGTGCGCAATAAGCAATGCAACTGCTGATTCGGCTACAGAGATACGGAAAGTTTTTAGTGCTACTATGGCTAATGGTGCGTCTCGCTGCAGTGGCAGTTCATATTTACCGGCTTATCAAAAATTTTTTTTCCATTGAAGTGCTATTTTGCAGGTATTTATCATGTGATTGTAAAAAAGCAGTAGAATCTGCTTTTTCTTACAGAATTCTCTTCAGAAGTTTTTACTTAGGTCCTCGGCTGCATGCATCAGCTGTTTCCTAGCAAAGAATAGATACTAAATTTCCGTTAGTTTTTTTTTTTTTTTTTTGCATAAATCTAAGATGTGAATCTATGTACGTATATGCTTTTCCAGATAATTTATCTAAAAAGATGAGAAAAAATTTTGAGATTGCGCATTTGGGAACAGGTTAAAAACATCTGCGAATTTTCCTGATGCCAAAAAAAAAGATTTAGTTTAGAGTTATAAGGCAAGATTGCTGCATTTGCAACAAAGAGGACTGAACCCGAAATTCTGAATATTATCTGCTATGAACAGAAAATTTTTGAAAATTATTATGAATAGGCAAATTTATCTTTAACATGCCTAGAACTTACAGCATTGTCATTCTGCAAGTGTTTGTCATTATTTTTTGAATTGTTTTGTTTAAAATTTCAAGTAAGATGGGCTGCCGCTTTAAACTTCAGGTGCGAGATTTGACTCCAGCATCGGCGTTACAACCAGTTGATCAGAATAAAGCAGGAGCTGCCCAACCGAAACCTTCACAGACCCAAGTGGCGTCAGTGGCCGAAGAAGGTGCTGCTGCTGCTGCTGCTGGATCTAATGAATCAGACATTCAAGGCACAACCAGATTATTGCTTCTTGGTATTTTTTAAAAAAGTTCTTTAAATTCTGTAAATTTTTCTTCTTTATAATTTCCAAATGATGGAGCGCTACCTACCGCTCATTTATGCTTCGCTTTTGTTACTTTCTGCTGTTCATTTATTTTGCACTCGCTACTATAAACTTTATGTCTCTATTTCATCTTTGTGCTGTTTTTATATAAGTGCAAACCAAACCAGCGACGCACCAGGTTCGACGGTGTGATAATGCGTTGCGTAAGATTTCATGCTGTAGAGATCGCCTATACTACTGGGATATGCC